CTACTCAATTATTCGCAGGAATGAAGGCTAACACAGCTGGTGCATACCCGCCTCAGCCTACCGGCTTCACCAATCCTGGGGTTCCTGTTTCTTCCGGTGCCTATGAAGACATCATGGATGTTAAGTACAATGGTGGCAAGCCAGGTGAATTTAGTTAGCCACCAATTTCTTTGATATACAATATTCAGGTATTTGAATCGTTATTTTTTTTAGTTGGTTTCAATACAAATGGCCAACAGTCCTCAGTTGGCGTATTTGCTGCCCCACAGTCCAGCACGGTGACTGACGCTTGTAAGGCAACTGTAAGCGGGCCTCAACCTAATTCGATTCAATCTGCCCCTCTCACACAATCAGTCTCGGTCGCTCCTCCGCTCCCAGTTGGCCTACAGGTTCCTACATCTGTTGGATCTAGTGGTGGATTTCCGACCCCTCAGACCCAACATCAGTTTGGCGGACCTCCGAATAGTCATATTTTTGGATTCTATCCCAATGCTTCAGTGCCTGGTGGTGGACCAACTTGCGTCCCTTCAGGAGCAGCTGGCGCAGGCACTTCTGTCACGGGGCATCACATTCCCGGTAATGCTTGTTCGGCCCCGGATCCAAGCCAAAGTCGACCTGCCTCCTCCGCTTCAGCATCTCATATGAACGCAATGGTGGCGGCTGTATTGCAGCAGCATCATTCTCAGGTTTGGATTTTAATGCCTCAGCCAGTGCGAAATAGCAAGGTTGTATTAAAAGTAATCGGTGTAATAAGTATCTTTGAGTTAGGCTTGGTTACAAACCACATTTTTTGATTATTTGGTTCACTATCTCCTCCGAAATTCCATTTAGGCAAAATTTGTGTTTGAAGGTTTTTATTTTCCGGTAATATATATATAATTACAGCCAATGTTCTCACTTTGTTTTTTGTTTATTAATCATTGCTTTCTCGTTGAGGTTCTGAATCGAACTTCCTTTGTTACCCGTTTTTAGCAAATACCGTTATTCGAATGACAGATCACAGTCCCTGTTATTAAAGACTTGGATTTTGTTTATTCTCAGACATG